CACACCTCTTAACGAGATCACACGAGGCCGCGATCAGCTATTAATGATTTATTGTCTGCCACCTGGGACCTGTTGTTAAATCAGTATGAATCGACGAGGCTGGCCTATTCCACTACGCCTGTACCTATTCTCTATTTATCGGCTATGATCCTACTTCACCTTCTTACTCACTGTTAGGTGCCACGGCGGTTCGTTGATCCCGTACCCGCAGCGTACCTCAATGCGTCTCACGGACGTTCGGGTCGCCTGGCGCTGGAGTGAGAGCGCGATCTCTCCCCTGCCCCCCCTTTTTATCCTCCCTACATCAAAGGGATGCGGCTCCGAGCGGGATGGCGGCCCTCAGCCTTTCCTTAACAATGGGCTCGCGCCCGCTAGCACGCGCACGGCGGTTCCGGGCGCCTGTGATATGCTAATCAATGTGCGGCGTGCGCAGCGTAAATTCTAATTAATCCCTTACCCTCCCTAACAATGGTGCCTGCGCGCTCAAGCCTAATTATCCCAACCATCCGTGACTATGCGCAAGAGCCCCTGCGGTCCCGCTACTCATGCTGTCCCGTCCCTCCCCTGCTTGCCTCGTCGACACGTGAGGGGTGTGTGTGGGGGATGCGCTTCAACCGCGGTGGCCGAATGCCCCTCGCCGCGGCCATACCATCTTAAGGCCGGTCGCAGCGCCGCGGTGCAAAGTAGTGTCGGGGGAGGCCGTCCAATTCCTTGATCGCCGGAAACCGTGAGAGTTAATCCCGATAAGGGTTTCTCGGATAAAAACCGGTCGATCAGGTGAGCTCCCCTTCCAGCTCTATGGGGGGGGGGGGGGGAAATGCGTGCGGGTGTGTTCATGTGAGGTGAGGTGAGGGGGACGAGGGGTTGGCTCCGTCGCTTGGTGGTGGCGAGGTCGGGGATGGGGCGCCTGCCGAACGGCTTCGTGGCGGCGGCATCACATAGCCCCCCGAGGTGCCAGTCCCCGTCCCGGGTTGACTGGAGCACCTTGCTTGGGCCGCGCCCACGAGGAAACGTTGCGGGGTCCGGGGGATCCGTCCGGACCTTGTGGCTGGTCTTGGGGCGGGTGTTTCCATCCTCTGTAGCTCCTGCGGCGGCCTCCTCCTCCACTCCAGCGGCTCTCCCCGTCCTCCGGCACCTGTGGGCTGGGGTACAAACTCAGCAGCGGAAGGGTTTAGGGGCCGTCGTCCGCGTCGTCTCCTGACTGGATCGGGGCATCTCGGGGGCCCGGCGGGACCCATGTAGTGTGCGAGGCCCCCCAACACGAGGGGTGCGGGTACCCCGGGATTTCGGGGCCTTCGGGCGACGGGGTTCTCTCTCGCCGGGGCCGCTTTCCAGGGTTTTAAGCGGCGGACGTTGACCACCGTCTCTCGACCCCTCTCCCCGCCATAGATTAGTACCGTCCAGGGGGAGATCTGCCGCACCACGGTCCAGGGTCCTCGCCAGTAGGTCGTCAGTTTCCCCACCTGCCCGGCCCCGACGCGAGGGGTGTGTAGCCATACCTTAGCGCCTGTCAGGAATAAGGGGGGTTCCATGCGGGGTCGGGTGCCTTGTTCCTGCCGCCGATGCGCGGCTTCCCCTTGCGGGTATGCTCGGCCTCGGGCTTCTCGCAGGGTCTCCAACAGGTGTTCCACGGGGCGGCTTCCCTCCTCCGGCTGGGGGGAAGGAACGCCGAATAGCAGATCTGCGGGTAAACGAGACTCACGGCCGAAAATCATTAAAAACGGGGTTTGTCCCGTCAACGTGTGTACGGTGGTGGCGTAGGCGAAAAGGGCGTAGGGGAGGTGTTCATCCCAATCCCGTTGATTTGCGGCCGCCATACGTTTGAGTTTCCCCGCTAAGGTCTGATTCATGCGCTCTACCATACCGTTCGCTTGAGGGTGGTACGCTGTGGTTCGGTCCTTCTGGATTCCGAATTCTCGGCACAGTGCCTGAAACAGCTCGGCCTCGAACTCGCTACCCTGGTCGGTGAGGACTCGTTCTGGGATCCTGTGCTTAAGTACGTAATGTTCCACGAATGCCCGGGCCACCACCAAGGCCGTTTTATCAGGGATGGCCACTGCCACAGGGTAGCGGGTGAAATACTCTACTGCGACTAGGATATACCGGTTGCCTCGATGGGATCGCGGGAATGGCCCCTGTAGGTCGATCCCGACCAGCTGATTCGTGCGGCTGACGCGGAACGGCCTTAGGGGTACCTGGTATCGAGCCGGTTTCGGCCCGCACTGCTGACAGGCGCGGCAGCCCTGTACCCAGGCCGCCACGTCTTGTGCCAATTTGGGCCAGAGATACTGGCGACACAGGGTCTCTCGAGTGCAGTCGTTCCCCATCGTGGCCCCCGAGTGGGTGGTCATGCACCAGCCGTAGCAGCTGGGGTCGCACCTGGGCAGGAACACAGATGCACCCCGGCTGGCCGGCCTCGGTTAACTCCCGTACCACTCCGTTCTGCACACACAACCGGGCATACAAACCGCTCCAGGGTCCTGGTAGGGCGCTCTTTTCCTCCTGCAGTGCCGCCTCCACTGCCGCCAGATCGGGATCCCGCTGCTGGGTCTGTCTCAGCTGCTCGTCGTTCAGGCCCGGGAAGGCGCAGCCGACGTCCTCCTAGATCCGTCCGATCGGGGCGGGGTGATCCGCCGGGTCCCGAGCCGTGGGTCCCGCGCTTGCCGGGCAGTCGACGGGATCCTCGGTGTCGCCTGTGAGGGTCTCTGTGGCGCACACTGCACTCTTTCTCGCTGGCGGGGGGTCAGTGGCCGCGGCCTCTCGGGGGTCCGTTGCCTGCCGGCAGCGTCCCCCCGTGAAACACGGGCAGGCCTCCTCCGCCCTTGTCTCGGCGTACACCGTGGGCCGCCTCGACAAGGCGTCCGCGTTTGCATGCGTCCGGCCAGCCCGATACTCGATTTGCAGGTTGTACTCCTGCAACTGCGCCAACCGCCGGGCCATCTGCCCCCGCGGCTCCTTGAATGTAAGAAGAAACTGCAGAGCATAATGGTCAGTGCGTACGCGACATTTCCTGCTTTACAAATACGGCCGGAACTGTTTGCATGCGAAAATCACGGCGTACAACTCTTGGCGGGTCACGCAATAGTTCAGCTCGGCCCCACTCAAGGTCCGGCTGGCGTACGCGATGACTCGTTCCGTCCCATCCTGTACCTGTGACAACACCGCGCCCAGCCCACTGCTGCAGGCGTCGGTGTCCAAAATAAAATCGGTGGTAAAATCGGGGAAAGCGAGGGTGGGGGCGTGGGTGAGGTGGTCTTTGAGAGTGGTGAAGGCCGTCTGGCAGGCCCTTGTCCACTGGTAGGGGTGCTTAGGGGAGGTGAGTTGGGTGAGGGGGCGTGCAATCTCGCTGAATCCCTTTACAAATCGACGATAATAGGTGGCGAGGTCGGGGATGGGGCGCCTGCCGAACGGCTTCGTGGCGGTGGCATCACTTAAGTGTCCACGTGATGGGGCCCAGTTTAGTTGAGCGGCCATCATCTGTGGTGGCCAGGTCGCTTCTGAAACAAATAAGTGAATAATAGCCTCAGTGGGCGGGGGGGGTTTGCCTGGCAGGATGGGCATGGTTTAGTTGTTGTATTTGTATGTGTCTGGGTGGTTCGTTTATCTTTCTTGTTTTTTCGTTTGTTGTTTGTAACGTTCTTAACCCGTGTCACCGACTGGATGCCTGTGAAAAACAAGAGCTTTACAGCTCATTAGATTCCTCCCCCAGCTAGAAATACATAAATTTCGATTCTGTGTCGGTGCCGGCGCCGTTTGCCGTGCCAGCGAGTGCAGGCGCGGGGGTCCATGGCGGAGGCGCCGGCGTTCCTGGCGGGCGACTCGCAGGTCGCCCCGTGGCTGCCGGGGGAGATGTGGCAGGCGCCGGCGGCGGCACCGGCGGCGGCACCGGCGAGAGAGAGCGGCCACCAAAGTAAGGGCTTCCACACGATCGGGGTTAGGGTTCGGGTCCGGGTCAGGGTTCGGGCCGGGGTCAGGGTTCGGGCCCGGTTCAGGGCGGCGCACGTTTTGCCGGGGCAGTTTTTGAGAGCGATTTTCTTTCGTCAATTCGACGGCTCTCGTTTAGCCACGGAGGCCTCGCCGAGTCTCGAGGCTCTCTTTCGAGAGGGTCCTGCCAAAGCCCTCGCGGCAAAGGGCGGCGTCTCAGCGTACGATCCAAATCGGGTAAGTTTCAGTGGAGAGCCTGGAGGAAACCCACGTAGAACACGGGGGGAGAACACACTAATGTGGCATGCGAGTTGGGAATCGAACCCAGGTGCTTATTGCCGTGAGGTGCGAGGGTGTGCACGTCTGTTGAACCCTTCGCACCGGACGAAGCCCGCCGTGCCAATCGGAGGTGCCGGTATTAATCACCGCAGCGCGCTACCACCGGGCACTCCCAATTGTCACCAGCAACACGTTGCTGCTGCTGCTGCTGCTGCGATTATCTGTGGCAACTTGGTACAGCAATGGCGCGTTTAGTTTGAGTGAACCGTAGCCGGCACCGGCGCCTGGTAGTGAACGGCGGTGGTGGCGGTGGTGGCGGTGGTGGCGGTGGTGGCGGTGGTGGCGGTGGTGGTGGCGGTGGTGGTGGCGGTGGTGGCGGCGGTGGTGGCGGTGGTGGTGGCGGTGGTGGCGGTGGTGGCGGCGTGACTCTGTTGGTTGCCCCGTCGCCCGCGAGTGAGTGCAGGCAAAACCCACGAGGATGTGGTGGTGGCGGTGGAGGAGTTGCTCCACCGGGTGGACGGGATCGTGGAGGTGCCGGAGCAGCCTCCGTGCGGCCACCTGCACCGCCACGACCACCACGACCACCACCACCACCAGCAGCAGCAGCAGAAGCAGCAGCGCCCGTCGCCGGAGGTCGGAGGTCAGCACGGTCACGTGATGGGGGACACGGGGGGGCAGGGAGGTGAGGGGGGGGAGGAGCACGTGGAGACGCGACGGGAAGGCCCCGTGGGTGGCGAGCGCCCCCAGACGGCGCCCCAGACGGCGCCCCAGACGGCGCCCCAGACGGCACACGGAGCAGGAGGGGGAGGAGATGGAGCGCGTCGACGGCGACGGAGAGCGCCGGGCCACCGTGCCGGGGGAAGGCGCTGCGACGCGGGATGGGGACACCGACGGCGCGGAGGGCGACCCCCGGGGGCGCGCGGAGACCCCCGCGATCGCCGCCGCGGGGAGGCGCGAGGGGGGGGGCGAGAGGCACCCGTTGTGCGTGGGAGCGCCGCCTCCGCCGCCGCCACCACCGCCGCAGCCGCAGCAGCAGCAGCAGCTACCGACCGGCGTGACGGCGCTGGCCGGGAGGCCGTTCAGGTGCCGCTCCCGGCCGCACCCTTCCCGAGGCGGAACGCGTCCCGTCGCGGTCCGCTGCGTGCTCTGACGCGCGTGTGTGTGCGTGTGTGTGCGTGTGTGTGTGCGTGTGTGTGTGCGCGTGTGTGTGTGCATGCGTGTGCGTGCGTGTGTGTGCGCGTGTGTGTGCGCGTGTGTGTGCGTGTGTGCGTGTGTGTGCTTGTGTGTGCGCGTGTGTGTGTGCGTGTGTGTGTGTGCTCGTGTGTGCGTGTGTGTGCTCGTGTGCGCGTGTGCGTGTGTGCGTGCGTGTGCAGGTGCGGCGAGTGCGGCAAGGCCTTCGTGCAGGTGGGGCAGCTGGCGCGGCACCGGCGCATCCACACGGGGGAGCGGCCCTTCTGCTGCGCCGAGTGCGGGCGCCGCTTCACGCAGTCGGCGCACCTGCAGCAGCACGCGCGCACCCACACCGGCGAGCGGCCCTTCGCCTGCGCCCAGTGCGGCAAGCGCTTCGCGCAGTCCTGCCAGCTGGGCGTGCACCGGCGCACGCACAGCGGCGAGCGGCCCTACCCGTGCGGCGACTGCGGCAGGGCCTTCTCGGGCTCCTCGGCGCTGCGGCGCCACCGCCGCTCGCACACCGGCGAGCGCCCGTATGCCTGCGTCGAGTGCGGCAAGCGCTTCGCGCGGGGCTGGCCGCTGGCGCTGCACGCGCGCACGCACACGGGCGAGCGGCCGTACGTGTGCGTGGAGTGCGGCCACGGCTTCGTGCACTCATCGGCGCTGGCGCAGCACCGGCGCTCGCACGCCGGTGAGAAGCCGTTCTCGTGCGCCGAGTGCGGCAAGCGCTTCACGGCGCGCCAGCAGCTGCGCTGCCACGGGCGCGTGCACACCGGGGAGAGGCCCTTCATCTGCGGACAGTGCGGTCGCACCTTCGCGCAATCCGCCTACCTCACTAAGCACATGCGCACGCACGCACGCGCCGCCGCCGGCGCCACTGCCGGTGCCGCCGGGCCTCCGTCCTCCGAGCTGCGGCACGAAGTTGCCGTGGCCGGTGATGGAATCGTGTGACGGCATCACGGACCGAGAGGCCGGGGCAGGCGCCGGCTGTGACTTCAACCGGCGACCTTCGCGGGGAAACTTGACTCGGCCTGCTTTGGGGTTAGGCCCAAGGGCTGTGCCTGTGAGCTCGCGGAGCCTTGCGTGGACTTGCGGGGCTTTGCGTGGCCTTGCGGAGCCTTGCGGGGCCTTGCGTGGCCTTGCGGGGCCTTGCGTGGCCTTGCGTGGCCTTGCGTGGTCCTTGCGGGGCCTTGCGTGGCCTTGCGTGGCCTTGCGTGGCCTTGCGTGGTCCTTGCGTGGCCTTGCGGGGCCTTGCGTGGCCTTGCGTGGCCTTGCGTGGCCTTGCGTGGGCCTTGCGGGGCCTTGCGTGGGCCTTGCGTGGCCTTGCGTGGCCTTGCGTGGCCTTGCGTGGGCCTTGCGGGGCCTTGCGTGGCCTTGCGTGGCCTTGCGTGGGCCTTGCGTGGCCTTGCGTGTCCTTGCGTGGCCTTGCGGGGCTTTGCGTGGCCTTGCGGGTCCTTGCGTGGTCCTTGCGTGGGCCTTGCGTGGCCTTGCGTGGTCCTTGCGGGGCCTTGCGTGGTCCTTGCGTGGCCTTGCGTGGGCCTTGCGTGGCCTTGCGTGGCCTTGCGTGGGCCTTGCGTGGCCTTGCGTGGCCTTGCGTGGCCTTGCGTGGCCTTGCGGGGCTTTGCGTGGCCTTGCGGGTCCTTGCGTGGTCCTTGCGTGGTCCTTGCGTGGGCCTTGCGTGGCCTTGCGGGGCCTTGCGTGGGCCTTGTGTGGCCTTGCGTGGTCCTTGCGGGGCCTTGCGTGGGCCTTGCGGGGCCTTGCGTGGCCTTGCGTGGTCCTTGCGTGGCCTTGCGTGGCCTTGCGTGGCCTTGCGGGGCTTTGCGTGGCCTTGCGGGTCCTTGCGTGGTCCTTGCGTGGGCCTTGCGTGGCCTTGCGTGGCTTTGCGTGGTCCTTGCGTGGTCCTTGCGGGGCCTTGCGTGGCTTTGCGTGGGCCTTGCGGGGCCTTGCGTGGGCCTTGCGTGGCCTTGCGGGGCCTTGCGTGGGCCTTGCGGGGCCTTGCGTGGGCCTTGCGGGGCCTTGCGTGGCTTTGCGTGGGCCTTGCGGGGCCTTGCGTGGGCCTTGCGTGGCCTTGCGTGGCCTTGCGTGGTCCTTGCGGGGCCTTGCGTGGCCTTGCGTGGCCTTGCGTGGTCCTTGCGGGGCCTTGCGGGGCCTTGCGTGGGCCTTGCGTGGGCCTTGCGGGGCCTTGCGTGGGCCTTGCGGGGCCTTGCGGGGCCTTGCGGGGCCTTGCGGGGCCTTGCGTGGCCTTGCGTGGTCCTTGCGGGGCCTTGCGAAGCCTTGCGGGGCCTTGCGTGGTCCTTGCGTGGCCTTGCGTGGTCCTTGCGTGGCCTTGCGTGGTCCTTGCGGGGCCTTGCGGGGCCTTGCGTGGTCCTTGCGGGGCCTTGCGGGGCCTTGCGTGGCCTTGCGTGGTCCTTGCGGGGCCTTGCGGGGCCTTGCGTGGCCTTGCGTGGTCCTTGCGTGGCCTTGCGTGGTCCTTGCGTGGCCTTGCGTGGCCTTGCGGGGCCTTGCGTGGCCTTGCGTGGTCCTTGCGGGGCCTTGCGTGGCCTTGCGTGGCCTTGCGTGGTCCTTGCGTGGCCTTGCGTGGCCTTGCGTGGTCCTTGCGGGGCCTTGCGTGGCCTTGCGTGGTCCTTGCGTGGGCCTTGCGTGGCCTTGCGTGGCCTTGCGTGGCCTTGCGTGGTCCTTGCGTGGCCTTGCGTGGCCTTGCGTGGTCCTTGCGGGGCCTTGCGTGGCCTTGCGTGGTCCTTGCGTGGTCCTTGCGTGGCCTTGCGTGGCCTTGCGTGGTCCTTGCGGGGCCTTGCGTGGCCTTGTGTGGTCCTTGCGTGGTCCTTGCGTGGCCTTGCGTGGCCTTGCGTGGTCCTTGCGTGGTCCTTGCGTGGCCTTGCGTGGCCTTGCGTGGTCCTTGCGGGGCCTTGCGTGGCCTTGCGTGGTCCTTGCGTGGCCTTGCGTGGCCTTGCGTGGTCCTTACGGGGCCTTGCGAGGCCTTGCGTGGCCTTGCGTGGCCTTGCGTGGCCTTGCGGGGCCTTGCGTGGCCTTGCGTGGCCTTGCGGGGCCTTGCGTGGCCTTGCGTGGTCCTTACGGGGCCTTGCGAGGCCTTGCGTGGGCCTTGCGGGGCCTTGCGGGGCCTTGCGGGGCCTTGCGTGGCCTTGCGAGGCCTTGCGTGGCCTTGCGTGGTCCTTGCGGGGCCTTGCGTGGGCCTTGCGTGGGCCTTGCGGGGCCTTGCGGGGCCTTGCGTGGCCTTGCATGGTCCTTGCGGGGCCTTGCGTGGCCTTGCGTGGCCTTGCGTGGTCCTTGCGTGGTCCTTGCGTGGCCTTGCGTGGCCTTGCGTGGTCCTTGCGGGGCCTTGCGTGGCCTTGCGTGGTCCTTGCGGGGCCTTGCGGGGCCTTGCGTGGTCCTTGCGGGGCCTTGCGTGGCCTTGCGTGGTCCTTGCGGGGCCTTGCGTGGCCTTGCGTGGTCCTTGCGGGGCCTTGCGTGGTCCTTGCGGGGCCTTGCGTGGCCTTGCGTGGTCCTTGCGGGGCCTTGCGTGGCCTTGCGTGGTCCTTGCGTGGCCTTGCGTGGCCTTGCGTGGTCCTTGCGGGGCCTTGCGTGGCCTTGCGTGGTCCTTGCGGGGCCTTGCGTGGCCTTGCGTGGTCCTTGCGGGGCCTTGCGTGGCCTTGCGTGGTCCTTGCGGGGCCTTGCGTGGCCTTGCGTGGTCCTTGCGGGGCCTTGCGTGGCCTTGCGTGGTCCTTGCGGGGCCTTGCGTGGCCTTGCGTGGTCCTTGCGAGGCCTTGCGTGGGCCTTGCGTGGTCTTGCGTGGCCTTGCGTGGGCCTTGCGGGGCCTTGCGGGGCCTTGCGGGGCCTTGCGTGGTCCTTGCGGGGCCTTGCGTGGGCCTTGCGTGGCCTTGCGTGGTCCTTGCGGGGCCTTGCGTGGGCCTTGCGTGGGCCTTGCGGGGCCTTGCGGGGCCTTGCGGGGCCTTGCGTGGGCCTTGCGTGGGCCTTGCGTGGTCCTTGCGGGGCCTTGCGTGGCCTTGCGTGGCCTTGCGTGGCCTTGCGTAGCCTTGCGTGGTCCTTGCGGGGCCTTGCGAGGCCTTGCGTGGCCTTGCGTGGTCCTTGCGGGGCCTTGCGGGGCCTTGCGTGGCCTTGCGTGGTCCTTGCGGGGCCTTGCGAGGCCTTGCGTGGCCTTGCGTGGTCCTTGCGGGGCCTTGCGTGGCCTTGCGTGGCCTTGCGAGGCCTTGCGTGGCCTTGCGAGGCCTTGCGAGGCCTTGCGTGGCCTTGCGAGGCCTTGCGTGGTCCTTGCGGGGCCTTGCGTAGCCTTGCGTGGTCCTTGCGGGGCCTTGCGAGGCCTTGCGTGGCCTTGCGTGGTCCTTGCGGGGCCTTGCGGGGCCTTGCGTGGCCTTGCGTGGTCCTTGCGGGGCCTTGCGAGGCCTTGCGTGGCCTTGCGTGGTCCTTGTGGGGCCTTGCGTGGCCTTGCGTGGCCTTGCGAGGCCTTGCATGGCCTTGCGAGGCCTTGCGAGGCCTTGCGTGGCCTTGCGAGGCCTTGCGTGGTCCTTGCGGGGCCTTGCGAGGCCTTGCGTGGCCTTGCGTGGCCTTGCGTGGTCCTTGCGGGGCCTTGCGAGGCCTTGCGTGGCCTTGCGTGGTCCTTGCGGGGCCTTGCGTGGCCTTGCGTGGCCTTGCGTGGTCCTTGCGAGGCCTTGCGTGGCCTTGCGTGGTCCTTGCGGGGCCTTGCGTGGCCTTGCGTGGTCCTTGCGTGGCCTTGCGTGGTCCTTGCGTGGCCTTGCGTGGTCCTTGCGGGGCCTTGCGTGGTCCTTGCGAGGCCTTGCGTGGGCCTTGCGTGGTCCTTGCGTGGCCTTGCGTGGCCTTGCGTGGTCCTTGCGAGGCCTTGCGTGGCCTTGCGTGGTCCTTGCGAGGCCTTGCGTGGCCTTGCGTGGTCCTTGCGTGGTCCTTGCGTGGTCCTTGCGGGGCCTTGCGTGGTCCTTGCGTGGCCTTGCGTGGCCTTGCGTGGTCCTTGCGTGGTCCTTGCGTGGCCTTGCGTGGCCTTGCGTGGTCCTTGCGTGGTCCTTGCGTGGCCTTGCGTGGCCTTGCGTGGCCTTGCGAGGCCTTGCGTGGTCCTTGCGGGGCCTTGCGAGGCCTTGCGTGGCCTTGCGTGGTCCTTGCGGGGCCTTGCGTGGCCTTGCGTGGCCTTGCGGGGCCTTGCGTGGTCCTTGCGGGGCCTTGCGAGGCCTTGCGTGGGCTCACTCGAGGGCTTACGCCGACGGACCCGAGGCCTCGGTGGCGGACGTTGCCGGGCGCGCCTTGCCGTGAGGTTCTCATCCCATGCCGCGAGGTTCTCATCCCTTGCCGTGAGGCCGGGCTTTGGGCGTCTCTGACACGGCTTGTCACGTTCGGGAGCAAAAAAAACGTCGTGTTTTACAGCGTGCGAGTCCGCCCGGGTGGGGGGGACTCGGAGCTGGCGGACGGAGGGACGGGAAGCCCAGGGATGTTCATCTCCTTCGGCTCCAACGGCTCCAAGGATGAAGGGGACGCCGGCGCGACTTGACGCTCCCAGCCGCCACGCAGTTTACAGCGTTCGTGTCACCTTTTGGCGTCATCTGGTCCAACACCATGTGAGACTAGGCTCTAAGGAAAGCTGTCTCGGGTGTGGACCAATCAACTTCAAGGACAGTGCATACATTATCAGAGTTATGTTTTTGTTTGCATTATGACTTGCAGGTATTGTGGTCTATGCAAACATGACTCCTTGTAAAAAAGGTGTCAGTTTTGTTGCCAGATGGAAGGGTAAAAAAACAATTATCAGCGTTCGTGTCTTTCCATCTCGTACATTCCACGCGGCTCCTCCGGGCGGCGGACGCGCGTCCCGATGAAGGACGACGGTGATTATTTAGTCCCTTCGAGGATCTCTCGCTCGTTCTGAGATTTTTGTTTACCAAAAAAGTAAGTTTCGGTCTAAATTTGTGCTGTTTCGCTGCCCACGTGAATGCCGCACGGCTGCGAGAGGGTTCGTCGCCCTGGGCGACCTCCCGGCACCTCCTCGTTGGGCCGCGCGTGACCGGCCGCACGCGAGATCCGGTGCAATCCCGCGGGATCTGGGGGTTCGAAGCCGGGGATTTCGGCGCCGGGGATTTGGGCGGCGCCAGCGGAGTTTTGCCAGCACTGTGCCAACTATGGCTGCAGTCATGGCCTGGGCCGGTTTACGTTTCAAATTGAAGCTTCGTATTTACAAAGCGCGAGACGCGTCGTTCCACGGCTCGTTCCGCGCGTCGTTCCGCGGCTCGCGCTCACGTCTCCCCGCCGACTGCTCGTGAGCTCGCAGCCATCGACTGGAATTAAACTCGGCTCGGCCCCGGCGAGGTTTTGTGAATAAACAGATCTGCACTGCGCACAGAACGCTGTCGCCCGTCGTGATGGGTTTGAGAGGTTCTCTGCTGCCAGCCAGCCAGCCACTGAGCCAGCTAGCGAGCCAAGCCAGCCAGCGAGCCAGCTAGCGAGCCAGCTAGCGAGCCAGCTAGCGAGCCAGCTAGCGAGCCAGCCAGTGAGCCAGCCAGCGAGCCAGCCAGTGAGCCAGCTAGCGAGCCAGCGAGCCAGCTAGCGAGCCAGCCAGCGAGCCAGCTAGCGAGCCAGCTAGCGAGCCAGCCAGCGAGCCAGCCAGCCAGCGAGCCAGTGAGCCAGCGAGCCAGCCAGCCAGCCAGCTAGCGAGCCAGCCAGCGAACCAGCCAGCGAGCCAGCCAGCCAGCCAGCGAGCCAGCCAGCGAGCCAGCCAGCCAGCCAGCCAGCGAGCCAGCGAGCCAGCGAGCCAGCCAGCCAGCCAGCTAGCGAGCCAGCCAGCGAGCCAGCCAGCCAGCGAGCCAGCTAGCGAGCCAGCCAGCGAACCAGCCAGCGAGCCAGCGAGCCAGCCAGCCAGCCAGCGAGCCAGCGAGCCAGCCAGCCAGCCAGCTAGCGAGCCAGCCAGCGAGCCAGCCAGCCAGCCAGCCAGCTAGCGAGCCAGCCAGCGAACCAGCCAGCGAGCCAGCCAGCCAGCCAGCGAGCCAGCCAGCGAGCCAGCCAGCCAGCCAGCCAGCCAGCGAGCCAGCGAGCCAGCGAGCCAGCCAGCCAGCCAGCTAGCGAGCCAGCCAGCGAGCCAGCCAGCCAGCGAGCCAGCGAGCCAGCCAGCCAGCTAGCGAGCCAGCCAGCGAGCCAGCCAGCCAGCGAGCCAGCCAGCGAGCCAGCCAGCGAGCCAGCCAGCCAGCGAGCCAGCCAGCGAGCCAGCGAGCCAGCGTCTGCGTTGCTTTCACCAACGTCTTGGCAGGTGGCGGTGCCATCGCGTGACGTGCAGGCACCGTGCGTGACGTGCAGGCACCGTGCGTGACGTGCGTCCCCGCCACGGAGGAACCGACCGGGCGGGCAATCGCCGACTGCCCCGAGGCTCACGTCACGATTCTGTTGAGGAATCGATTTTGTCTCTCGTCCCCAATGTCACCCCCCCCCCCGTGACTGGCAGCCCCCGTCAAGCAGCGGATAGACCACGGCTCGCAACGGCGGTCACGAAACTTGAAATAATACTATAATACTGTGGTACTCTTTGGTGCTTCCGGTAAAGTCACGTAGAGTAGAAAAATAAAATAAAATAACGTAGAGGTTATGCAGGTAGGAACAACAGTTCCACACTGCCCACCAGGGATTATTTGTCTGTCTGTCGTGCATAGCCCCGCCCCACCAGAGCCCTCCCATTGGCTCGGAGGCGCCGACCAATGGGAGCGGTGGGTTGGGGTTGGTAGAGGGGGGGGGGTTAGTGGTGGGGGGGGGGGGTTAGTGGTGAGGGGGGGGGGTTAGTGGTGAGGGGGGGTTAGTGGTGGGGGGGGAGGGGGCACCGCCGCGACTCTGGCCAATGAGGAGACGGCGATGTTTCATTCACAAAACGGAACTGGGGGAGGGTGGCTCCATTCATAAAATGGAACCCTTGAAAAGAAAAAAGCGGATCTTTTTGCCTCGTGTTTCTTTCAACATTCCCAGCCTTAAGGTGATTCAGTTGGGGGTGGGGCTGGGTGGGGAGGGGCTGGTCACCCCGTGGTGCCCTTATAAAACTCAACGTTTAACCTACTCACTACTACACTATACACGACACGCTACACTTATACAGGTAGGGACAACAGCTTCCACACTGCCCACCAGGGATTATGTGTCTGTCTGTCGTGCACGAATGCGCTGTCCAACCAAGTTCCTACCTGCCCACTCCGAAGGAACGTGTTATATGTGGCGATGGGTGGGCAAGCAAGCGGTGTCTGAGCTGGAAAGGAATTCCATCGCCGGATACAAGCACGTCAGTTGAAATGCGATCAGTATTACCTTGTTGAGAAAGGTGAGCGACTATCAGGTGAGACTGCTTGTCTCGCAGTCTGTTAAAAGCTCTAACAGATGCGTGGAAACCCTCCCCGTAGAGGCGCTTCAATCTTCATTTGAAGCTTTCGTGACTGCAGAGCCACTCGATCGGCCTGAGGACGACCGCTTGTGCTGCGATCGAAACGTCGCGATTTGTTTTATTTTCTACCCACGTGACTTTACCGAAAGAACCAAAGAGTATGGATCCCTGCAGTCACGATTGCTTCAAATCAAGATTAATACTGTGGTGGTGTTTGTGGTGGTGGTGTTTGTGGTGGTGTTTGGGGTGGGTGGTGTTTGTGGTGGTGGTGTTTGTGGTGGTGTTTGGGGTGGGTGGTGTTTGTGGTGGTGGTGGTGTTTGTGGTGGTGTTTGGGGTGGGTAGTGTTTGTGGTGGTGGTGGTGTTTGTGGTGGTGTTTGGGGTGGGTGGTGTTTGTGGTGGTGGTGGTGTTTGTGGTGGTGTTTGGGGTGGGTGGTGTTTGTGGTGGTGGTGGTGGTGTTTGTGGTGGTGTTTGTGGTGGTGTTTGGGGTGGGTGGTGTTTGTGGTGGTGGTGGTGTTTGTGGTGGTGTTTGGGGTGGGTGGTGTTTGTGGTGGTGGTGTTTGTGGTGGTGTTTGGGGTGGGTGGCGTTTTGTAAGGACGCGACACGGGCGGCAATTCCCGACTATATTTATTGACCAAAGTCTCAAAGTCTCCGGCATGCGCCGGTTTCACCGTGGCCCGGCCGGCTGCGAGCGACATTGTACAAAAACCAACGATACCAAAAGCAGCCCGGAGTGTCAACACCAACGTCAAGCGAGCGGGGGGGGGGGGAGCGGGGGGGGGGAGCGGGGGGGGGGGGGGAGCGGGGGGGGGGGGAGCGTGGGGGGAGCGGTGGGGGGAGCGGGGGGGGGAGATCCCCCGCGTGGCTTCTCCTCATTGCCCCTCGTTCTTGGAGGCCTCGTCGAAGTTTTCTATCAAATCTGGAGGGTGGGAGGGGAGGGAGGAGGGGAGGGAGGGAAGAGGGGAGGGGAGGGAGGGAAGAGGGGAGGGGAGGGAGGGAAGAGGGGAGGGAGGGAGGGGAGAGAGGAGGGGAGGGGAGGGAGGGGAGGGAGGAGGGGAGGGAGGGAAGAGGGGAGGGGAGGGAGGGGAGGGAGGAGGGGAGGGGAGGGAGGGGAGGGAGGAGGGGAGGGGAGGGAGGGAAGAGGGGAGGGGAGGGAGGGAGGGGAGGGAGGAGGGGAGGGGAGAAGGGGAGAGGGAGGAGCAGAGGGGGGGTGGAGGGAGGAGGGGAGAGGGGGGGAGGTCAGCACCACCCTGTGAGGCTTATCGCAGCAGAGAGACGTCGTGTCAAGGGGTGCACATTCCTCGTGTTCTCTTCGTGTTGCCAGGTTTGTCCTGCAGCTCTGCCTGCGCTGGTGCTCGCCGCAGTGGCCAGACTTTAACTACCTCGCCTGGTACGCAGGAGGTCGTGGTTTCGAACCCGACCCTGACGCCTGCTGCTGTATATTTGGAGTTTGCGTGTCTCTCTCTCATCATCATCACGGTGGCTAGGAGATGTTAACTACCTCTCCTGGTACACAGGAGGTCGTGGGTTCGAACCCGATCCTGACGACGCCTGCTGCCGTATATTTGGAGTTTGCGTCTCTCTCTCATCATCATCACGGTGGCCAGGAAATGTTAACTACCTCGCCTGGTCTACAGGAGGTCGTGGGTTCGAACCTGACCTGACGACGCCTGCTGCTGTATATTTGGAGTTTGCGTCTCTCTCACCATCATCACGGTGGCTAGGAGATATTGACTACCTCGCCTGGTGTACAGGAAGTCGTGGGTTCGAACCCGACCCTGACGCCTGCTGCTGCTGCTGTATATTTGGAGTTTGCGTGTCTCTCTCTCGCCGTGGTCTCGTGGATTTTTCTCCGGGTCCTCCCGGTTTGTCCCTCCGCGTGTATAATCAACGTCATTCCGAGTAATTAGTCTGCGATAACTTTCCCCCGTGACGACGATAATCCAACTTCGTTGAGCTGTCATCTGTGGTGGCCAGGGCGCTTCTGACAAAAGAGCTGCAATCGCTCAGTGAGGCCCCCCCTTACCGGGTAAAAATAAATAGAAATGGTTGACAGCTTTATACTCTTTAGTTTTTTTCGGTAAAGTCACGTAGGTAAAAAAATGTAAATTAAAATTAATAAAAAATAAAATAATAAAAAATCACGACGTTTCGGAGGCAACACAAGTCTCCGTCATCAGGTGGGACCGTCACAGCAAGATTTGCTGCATCAAGTGAGGCAGGGATTCAAGATGCAAGCTCTTAAATACAAGTTAAGGGGGAGGAGAGGGGGGGGAGCTTATCAGAATGTGGTAGCCAATGAATGGAACGTATCGGGAGGGGGGGGTGGGGCTAAAAGAGATCACGTGGTGTACGTGTACGTGGACATGCCTGTGCACAAGCACCTGTTGGTGCAGATGATAGAAGAGAACGAAAATGCCCGTGTTGTTTATACCAGTGTTGGCAGACAATAAAGAGAGTACTGTTACACGCTGGGGATGTTAACACTCGGTAAAGTAAAATAGTGCCTGTCAGATAAGATGGTCCAAAAATGTGTAGTTAAATCTTCAAATCTAGAATTGACAGC